GTGAAGACCCTAGGTTCAGTCCCTTTTTTATTTTTTCATTTTTGAGGCAGGGTCTCAGTAAGTGTTTAAGTTGTCTAGGGTGGGCTCAAACTTCACATCCTCCTGTCTCAGCTTCTCAGAGTGCTGAGACTACAGCAACCACCACCATGCCCAGCTTGGTTCTGAGTCTTATGACAACCTCTTCCCCTTCACCTTTTAGCTCTCCTAGGGCCACTGAAACTGCTGCTATTTATATGCCAAATAACTTAGCCCCTGCCGTCTCACTCCAGGCTGATAGATGGAAGTCACTTCTGACCTATGAGTCTCCCTCAGCAAAACAAAGTCTGAAACACTGAAATGTATTTCGCTGTCATTATCTCAGCAAATTCTTAGGGAATCCTTGCTCAGTCCCCTCAGCCTTTCTAAATGGAAAAGCTAGGGAAACATCTACTGGTCTCCTTCAGGCAGCCATGTCCAGGGCTCAGACCTTTCCTCCTCCTTGCAGCATCCTCAGCCTAGGACAAAGGCTGCCCTGGCCACCATCTGTCCTCTTGCTCCTCTCAGCTGCTGGGCAGACAGCCAGGTGGCAGGAAGCAGATGCTTCTTCAGGGCAGTACCCTTGAGGGTACTAACACCCTCAGCACTGCAGTCAGGGAGGGTGTTCTGAAGGTTTTGCCCATGAGAAGGAGAATGGCAGAGGGGGGCAGGGGGATTCTGCACAGCCTACATACACCCAGCACCAGCTCTAGAGGTTATCACCACCAAATCTGGCACCGCCCTGCTTTCTTAGTGTGAGTGTAACTTGCCAGGCTCTATTTCTCAGTGGTAGGTAGGGTTATGCTTATAACCCTCACAGGGATGTTGTGAAGATTAAACAAGATAAGGAATGCAAAGCTGTTAGCACAGTGCCAGGCACACAAGTGCTCTGTAAAGAAGAGCTCTTCCTAATGAAAGCTCATCTCCCCAGGCCACCCTGCGGAAGCTGAAGACAGAGGAGTACCTCAGACAGAAGAGGGAGCTCCTGGCCCTCTACCAGGACCAGGACCGGGAGTGCCCCAGCACCAGGCCCTCCACACCCTCCCTGGAAGGCTCTCAGAGCAGCGCAGAGGGGAGGTAAGACCCACCTGTGCCACCAGACGGGAGACCACAGGCAGGGAGGGGGAGGGAAGGAGCCCAAAAGCCTGAGAAGTGCCAGCACAGCCTTGGCAGAACTGGCATAAATAAAAGGCAGCCGGCTACAGGCTGGAGCAGAGCAGGCCTGAGAAGGGATGCCTGGGACAGCCTGTAGGGGGAGCCAGCCTAGGGCGGGCACAGTTTGAAGGAAACAGAAACAGGGCTGGAAAACGCCTGACGAGGAGGAGGATCCGGAGTGAAGGGGAGCCTGTATTGGTATACCATCAGCGCGGCCTGGCAGCGGCAAACCCAGATCTCCAGAGTGTGCGAGGGTCATCCAGGGTAACAGCTGTTTAACAGCGTGCTTATGGGAACAAGAAGAATCCATCGCTCTGGGTACAGTTTGCGGCACCTCCTGTGGTAACCTGAGTTATCCTCACCTCCGGACCTGCTGCTCCACACAGGTCCCGGACCTGGTGCCGTGGATAAAATGGCTTGGGGCAGCCTGAGCTCTTTCAGTGATCACAGTTCAGACAGTGAGATGAGAAAATCCCATGTACAGGGGATATGTAAATACGTTTAGAGGAGGAGCCATTTCTGGACAGACTCTTTAGGGTAGACTTCCTGGGCTTGCACTCGACCCCAAAACATGAGTCTGGCCCCTTGCTTTTCATTGTAGGACTCCCGAATTCACCGTCATCATCCCCCACCTCGTGGTGACAGAGGACACAGACGAAGACACTCGCTCTGTACCAGATGATACCTCAGACTCTGGCTACGGCACTTTAATCGCAAGCTCGCCCAAAGGGTCTCCCTCCCCGCTGAGCCGTCTACGCCTCAAGGCTCTTCGAAGGGACCCCCGCCTCACCTTCTCCACCCTGGACCTCCGAGATGTTCCTTTGCGCCCCCAGCCTCCGGACCCCCAAGCTCCCCAACGCCGAAGCGCCCCTGAACTGCCGGAAGAGATCCAAAGAGGGGGCAGTCTTCCCAGGGGAGATCCGCCCACCTGGTCGGAAGAGGAGGAGGAGGAGGAGGACGAGGAGGAGGAGGAGGACGAGGAGCAGGGGACCTCGGCTGGGCAGAATGTGGTGGTGGAAACCCTGCACCGAGCCAAGCTGCGGGGGAAGCTCCCGCCCTCCCCGACCCACGCTGACTCTGCCGCTGACTCTGCTGGGGAGAGCCCCTGGGAGTCCTCGGAGGAGGACGAGGGGCCTCCCTTCCTGAGCCTGGGGTGCAGCCCCCATGCCCACCCACTCCGGACTGAGGACATGCTGCGGGAGATCCGAGAGGAGCTGGCCAGCCAAAGGATCGAGGGAGCCCCGGAGCCTCGGGACAACAGGCCTCGGAAGCTGACGCGTGCCCAGCTGCAGAGGATGCGGGGACCCCACATTATACAGCTGGACACCCCCCTGTCTGTGTCGTAAGTGCCAAAGGGAGGCTGGCATAGGGCGGAATAGGGAAGGGGGTGGTGGGCAGTGTAGGGTGGGAGGGGTCACAGGACGACAGTGCAGGCGGAGGACCAAAAAGTGCCCTTAGCCTCATTCCAGCCCAGCCTGATCCTGTGCTCCTGCCACCCTTGACCTTCACCTAACACCTGCCTCCTTGCTTTTCAGAGAAGTGTGAGCAATGCAAAGGACCTCTGGCGTTTCTCCCAGAGGAAATGTCTTCCCAAGAGTGCTGGCCACAGCCCCACCCCTGGATTCTACCTCAAGGACTTCCCCTGAGAAGCCTGGCCCAGGCATCTGGCTCCTTCACAGGACTGTAGATTTATGTATCAGACACCACGGAGCCCTACATAAAGCTGTGTATAAAAATGACAGTTTTAAATGGGCTTGGTGGCACACCTGTAATCCCAGCACTCAGGAGGCTGAGGCAGGAGGATCGTTTCGAGTTCAAGACCAACCTGGGCTTCAAAGTGAACTCAAGGCCAGCCTGAAATGCATATCGAGACCCTGTCTCAAAAAGAATGATGGCTTGGTCAGCGGTAGACGCGGATGAGGAGAGGGATCCTGGGTGCGCGGTCACAGGAGCACAGGCTACTCCACCAGCTGCTGGGTGGTGAAGGGGGTCTGCTTTGTGCCACCCCAGAATCCCAGTCTCGCCCCAGCCTCTACCCCCAGAATACCCCACCAGAAGAAGAAGTTTAATTTCAGAGTTTTAGTGTATTTACAGAAGTCCACAGCTCCAGCTGGAGGCCCAATGCTCTGTGCTCGCTCCTGCCTGAGGGCAATCCAGGCTGTTTCCATTAGTGTGATAAGACTGAGACAAAGATTACTTAGCTACTGTGAAAAAGGCCCCGGAACCACGCAGGGTCCCCAAGCAGCCTTGCTGAGCCCTCCACACCCAAAACGCGCCTGAGGCATAGTGCTCCTTTCTCCGCCCTCACACACAGCCAGCAGTGAGCAGACCCACGCCCCACTGCCTGCACACACCGCAGGCTCCAGCGCGGTGGCAGGTAGCTGAGAAAAGACTATGTCCACCCGCTGAGAGGGTAGCACCAATTAAGTGGCCAGCTCGTGCCTGTTCCTCCAAGATCTTCCTCGCGGGGGCGAGGGGGGGACCAGCCCACAGGGCACCTAGTGAGCGACGGTCTTAGCGTGATGTCCCAAAGAAAGTGTCCAGGACTGAGGCCGGGCGTGGGGCGGGGCCTTACCCGGGAGGCGAGGGGTGTGTGGCCTCCCTCCGGCAGGCGGGACCAAGAGGGGTGGGCCATGGGCGTGGCCTCATCGGGAAAGGTAGGGTGCGGGCAGCAGGGAGGCGGGGCCGCGCAGCGCCTCCTGGATGTCCTCCAGGCAACCCCGGAGGTCCATGTCGCACAGCACGCGGCCCAACAGGTCCAGCGTGGCCTCGCGTCTTGGTGTGTGCTGCCGCCAGGCCGCCAGCATGCTGTATTGCGCCTCGCGCAGGCAGCGCCCGTTCTGCAGCTCCAGCCGCTCCATCTCATGCTCGCTCAGCCCCAGGCGCCGCATGAACTCCTTCCAGCGGGTCGGAGGCACGCCGTCCACCACAGCGTACAGTGTCACGGGCTCGGCTGCCAGGGACGAGGCCTCCACTGGGCGTGGCCCGGCCCGCCAGCGTTCACACTCACCACCCGAGACCTGCGCGGGGACGCTGTCCTCCCTCTTGTGGCCATCGGAGCGGATGGGCGCAGAGGTGAGCACAGGGGAGAAGATGGGCTCAGTCTCCAGGGATGGTGGGGCCACCTCCCTGTAGGGTGCCGCGTCCCTGAAGTTGGGCCTGGGCCGGGGAGTGAAGGTGGAGCTGGAGGGGAGGCTGGAGGTGGGGATGGGGCTGAATCCCAGGGTCGAGGTTAGGGGCTTGGTAGTAATTCCTTCAAGCTCGCCCTGAAAGAAAAGACACCGCATTAGTACGAGGAAGGCGAAAAGCCCTCTTTATTCTAGCCAGGGGCTAGGTGGGATGGAAGTAAAGGACCGCAGTGGTGCAGGGTATTTGGACGGGAGGAGATCGTAAAGAGCAGACAAGGACATTTGGGTATAGGCCCTGGTTTCCTCACCTCTTTCTCCGGTGCTGATTTCCCACACACTGAGAAAAAAGAAACAAAGTGTCATAAATTTCACTTCCCCTCTCGTCCCTCACCCTGTACTGGGGTTGCCATGGGGACTTGTGGTGACATGCTTCAGGGCCTATGAGGCCCAAGGGACGAGAACTACTGAAGCAGCCTGACCTCCCACCAGCCATGGAGGGCCAGCTCCTGCTGAGACACTCCCCGCCCCTCCATCTTTCCCACCCAGCCTCCTGTGCCCTCCCCAGGTCTCTCCTCACCAATGGAGTAGAGCTTGGGTTTCCACCGCGGGTAGCGGCACATTAAACTGATGAAGAGGAAGACTAAAAGGCAAAGGCCAAAGAAGATCACCAGGGGCAACAGCACCGTGGTACCTGGAGACAGAAGTAGATCTCATGAGGCGGGGGCAGCAGGGATGGGTGGGAGGGAACCTAAAGAGGAAGGAGAGTGCGGGCAGGTGGGCACAGGCTCCAGGGCACTTCTCACCTGAGTCCTGCAGAGGCTTAATTACGGCACTCGGGCACACTTTTGTGCACTCAGAGTCTTGCTTACATCTGAAAGAAGAGAGCACTGGTGAACAGAGGCCGCATCACTTAGAGGAACACAAAAGAAAACACAGAGAGAGATTGTTGGAAACTCTTTGCTGTAAAAGAGTTTTGCTAAATAAATAAATAAAATAGTTCTGCCACCTCTTAATCTAATGGAATTTGACCTACATTAAGAATGAATGCAGAAGAATGAAACATAATTAATCAGAATCATGTAATTTTAGAATTAGAAGGGATCTTTTGTTTTTGTTTTTTGAGACAGGGTCTCACGATGTAGTTCAGGCAGGCCTTTTTTTTATTTTAAAAATAAAAGGAGGAAAACATTAACAGACAGACAACCTTTTACAAAATAGCAAAAGAACAGTACAGAGTTACAAACAAAGTGGTAGGAAATTAACAATACTTGTTGTATTACATATTGATATCTTCAAAGTGGTTTCTCATGAAAACAGATAGAGACATGCAATATTGATCAATCAAGCATTGACAGTTTCTTTCAGCAAAGAAATAGAAGACAGTAGAACAACTATGTTAACTATCCTGTATACCCACAAAATTTCTCCTTCTTTCCCTTCTCTTTTCCCACATCCCAGTTGCCCTTTACCCTTGAGTGTTTTCCTATCATTTCACAATGTCTATCATACCTCCGAGTTTAAATTAACTCTTTCAGGTTTTACACTAGAGGCCTTGAACTATCTAGCCCAGGCTGGACTCAAACTCACAGCAATCCTCCTGTCTCAGTCTCCCAAATTCTGGGATTACAGGCATGCACCACTATGCCCAGCGTAGAAGGGATTTTGAAAAAGCTGTGTTGAAAACAAGTTAAAAGCAATCAAGACCATAGGGCCGGAGATATAGCTTAGTAGTAGAGTGACAGCCTAGCACTCACAAGGTCCTAGATTCAATCCCCAGCATCATCACAAAACCAAACAAAAAATCAGTCAAGTATAAATTCTAGCCCAAGGCCAGGGATACAGCTCAGCAGCACAAGCGCCTGCCTGGCATGCACAAGGTTCTGAATTCAATTCCTAGTACAAAAAAAAAAAAAAAAAATTCCAGCCTATTGAATGGCTAACAGTGTGCTCTAAGTAAGCCATTTCACCTCTAAGCCTCAGGGTTGAGGGGTCATACTCACCTCAGTCTTTTTTTTGTTTGTTTGTTTGTTTTTTTTGTTTTTTCTCCGGTACCGGGAACCGAACTCACGACCTTGCGCTTGCCAGGCAGGCGCTTTTGCCGCTGAGCTAAATCCCCAGCCCTCACCTCAGTCTTGAGGACTTAAATAATTATGCTTGACATACTAAGTGCTCAATAAATGGTAACTGTTTTTGAGTTTTTATCCTTGTTTTACAGATGAGATTGTGGCACAGAGGGGTGCTATGCTTTGGACCTGGAATGTCCTCAAAGGGATCATGTGTTATAGGCTTGGTTCCCAGCCTGTGGTGCCATTGCGGGGTGGTGGAACTTTTAGGAGGTGCAGACTCATGAGAGGAAGTTAGGTGATTTGGGATGTGTTCTCTGAGATGTCAGGACCCTGGCGTCTTCTCTCTTTGCTTCCCACCCACCATAAAGTGAGCAGTTTTGTTCCACCCTGCATTCCCAACATGATGTGCTGCCTCACCACAGGCCCAAAAACACAGCCAACCAACCATGGAGTGAACACTCAGAAACTGTGAACCTAAATCAGTTTTTTCTTCCTTATAAACTGATTATCCCAGTTTTGTCAAAGCAGCTGAAGACTAACAGAAGATGTTAAAGGGGTTTTTCTCAAATGATATGGCTAGTTACAGTATGTGACTTGGAGGGTGGGGTCTGGTATACATGTGAAAGCCTTCTATAGAACAGCACATCTTCCCCTACTGGGAGCACCCCTGGGCATTGCAGGGAAGTCCTCTGCAGAATCCAAAAGCAGAGAGGGGCACTTCTGCCACCTCATAAACTCATGGTGACACCAAGTGGGATAGATGTAAGAGCTCTTTCAAGAAGAGATGAAACTTAGTGGAAAACGTGGAAAATAGGGTTGTGTCAGACACTTTTTACAGTGCTGGAGAATTCAACCCAGGCCCTCCCACGTGCTAGGCAAATGCCCTACCACTGAGCTATACCCTGAGCATCACTGCTCTGTACCTAAGTTAAGGCTCAGAGATCTTAATAACTTGCCAAGGTCACACAATCAGTAAGCAGCTAGCCTGGGGTTTAAACACAGGTCAGTTCACCTCTGAGAACCTTCCGAGTTTCTTTTGTGCAAGTGACTGTGCTGGAACAGGCTTTGTGGGGGCCTGGTCAAGGACATGGGGGGGCATACTGCAGTGACCTTAAGATACACAATAACATGCAGCACCATTCTTTACATACCATACACACGTGCACGCACATGCACACATGTGTGCACAGCACTGCCAACTAAGCCATGATATATCATCAACTGTAAGACAGTCTGATTTCACAAGCATGGATGTGAGCACCCTAGACTCGACAAACACTAGTAGCACTCGTTGACCAAGGGCCCGAAAGCCTGAGTTGAAAAGGTTCCAAGTCTTGAGTATGAGCTTCTATTCCCAAATGCTTTTTAAAATTTGAGGACCATGTGGGGAAGAGGGAAGGAAAGAATTACCGAGCATCATTTTAAATTTTTTTTTTTTTTTTTTATCTTTCAGTGCTAGCGATTAAGCCCAGGGCCTTCGCACCCAGCCCTTTTTCATTTTGAGACAAGGTCTTGTTAAGTCACTCACTTGATCAGGCTAGGCTCAAATTTGCAATCTTCCTGCCTCAGCCTCCTACAGCGCTGGGATTATAGCCTTGGGCTACCACCCACTCAGCCAGCCAGTGAGAGCCTGAACACTCTGAAGATCTCCCTTGCCTTGCTCCTAGTTCTCAGCTACCACCACCCCTCCCCAGGGCACCTCATACCCCGTCCCATGCCAGCACCTGGCGGATAGATACTCACTTGCTGCAGGAGACACACTCGCTCCCTCTTAGAAAGAAGCCTGTGTGGCAGGTGCACACGGTGTTCTGTTTCTCCTGGCCTGTGGGTAGAAGCGCCACATGCTAAAGGACATGCACCCTGTACCCCAGAACCAGAGGCAGGCAGAGGGGCAGGATGGGGTGGGCAGACCGTGGGAGCAGAGAGGAAGGAGAGGAAGAGCCTCTTCCTGGGAAAGGTGCAAAAGGTGGCGCCCTTCCTTCTGGGCTGGGCTGGCCGTGGGGTGGGGTGGGGAGAGGGCATGGGCGTGGGCCTGCTGTGCTCACAGGGGATAGTCACAGTGCCATTGAGGCAGAGGCTGCAGTTGATGCACTGGAAATGTTTTTCACCAAAATAGGCCCGGAACTGGTTCTTCCTGCAGCCACACACGGTGTCCCGATCCACTGTGCAGGAACTAAGCTCCACCTGGAACAGTTCTGGTAAGAAGAAAGTGAGTGTGCCTCCTTCGTTGCTTTCCCAGATTAACTCTACTTCCCCTTTCCCTGCAGTACTGGGAACTGAGCCCAGAGTGCTCCACCGCTGAGCCACACCCCAGCCCTTTGTAGTTTTTATTTTGTGATAGAGCCTCACTTAGTCCCTAATCTTCCCAGGCTGGCCTGGAGCTCACAGCCCTCCTGCCTCAGCCTCCAAGTAGCTGAGATTACAAGCATGCACCACTGTCACTGGCTTCTGCATCCCTTCTTGACATCCCTCCCATGCATGTCTGTCTCTGCAACTCATACTCACACCCGTGCACACACATCCTGCCTGCACCACCAGCACCAATTCACAGATCTCCCAGCAGCACACGGGTGCCTCTGTAGCCACAGCGCCAGGACCACACCTACTTCCAGAGCCCAGCGCTGCCCGGAGACTGACCTTCCCGACAATGGGAACAGCCGAAGCACTCCCGGTGGAAGTTCTCAGAGGAGGTGAAGGTGCCATTTTCACACTCCCTGCAGTCTGTGTCTAGCCCTGGGCCTGGACAGTCATTGTACAAGTAGGTCCCTATGAACAACAGGATGTCAGGGTTAGGCTGCTGTGGAGAACCCGAGAAAAGAGCCTTGTGCTGAGGAGACCAGCCAGGGCCACTTCCCTGAACTCCCTAGGCGAAGAAGGAGGGAGAAAACACAGCGATGGGGGAGAGGCTTGGGAGCAGGGACCTCAATCCTAGAATATCTGGAATAAGCAGACAAAAACTCCAGGCCCCACAGCTGGGAGACTCACCGTCACCACTTCTGCCTACCTTTGTGGCACTTGGTGCAGCAGATGGAGTTATTTTTAGGGTGGCTGTATTTTCCCTGGGGACACAGACTATCCCTCTTCTCCCGATTCCCAAAGGGAGGGACCAGGCCAATGACACCTGATGTGTGTATCCCCACCAGCAGAGCCAGGAGCACCTGGGGGAAATCAGAGGAAAGAGAATACCATTAGGAGAGGCAGGCATGGGGGGCTGGGTGGCAGCACCCCAACACCTCTGAGTTCAGGACCCTGCTCCAGCCTCCTCCCTTAGCTGTACACTGCTTAGCTTCTAATGGTCCCATGTGCTGATTCTTGTTCCTTCAATCCAAGGGTCGTGGGCCCCAAGCCTAGCCTTGCTGTACCCGGACAGTGCCCCCTGCAGCCCCCAGTGCTGGAGACAGAGCAGATATTCAAGGAATGCTTTACGGTTCTTGCTGCTGTTGCTCACGGTACTGAGGATGGAACCAGAGGCATACTTTCTGGTGTAGGACACAGTGTGTGCATGCTGAACACACAGTCTACTGTGAGACACTGTACACCCCCAATCCAGAGGATGGCTTCTGGATGGGAAACTGGCAGTTTACTTTGACGATGGCCCTTTCTCCTGAGAGGAAACCCTAAAGATGGGGGAAGGCATTTCTCCAGCTGGTGTGGGGTTCCCTGGGCATTCGTGTAATAACTATTCACAGAGGTGAATGGTTAGATTCCATAAACTCTCCTGGATTATGTTCTACACCAGAAAGTATTTTTAAAATATCAGATGGGCATGGAGGGAAGTGGTGTCCCCTGACCACTACTTCTGAGAAGTGGGCAGAAGCAAAAGGGAGAATTTCTTTATACATTTATGGTAAACCCTTCTTAGGACGCTGTCCTCACACTCCCTGCCCCTGTCCTTATGCTGGTAGGTTTACACACATACCCCAGGTTGGCAAAGACAGACGGGGCGGGTGTCAGAGCAAAAATTGAGGGGTCAGGCATGGGGGAGGAGTGGGAAAGCTTGGGAAGCCAGGAAAGAGCAAGGGCTTGTGGGTCACAGGCAACTAGAGCAGGCTAGAGGTGGGCCAACAGGTCAGGAGCTGAGGGTGTGCCAGGGAGTCCCGGCGCCCTTTGCACAGAAACACACTCTGGGAGGCTGGCTGTATAGTCTTGAGCCAAACCCACAGGAGCTGAGGAGCTTTCCTGTTTCTGGCTTCAGTTTCAAGAAAAAAAAAGCCAGAAGTCAGTATTTAGCTCCTATTTTCAGATTTTGCTCTTTGATCTCTCTCAGCTGGATTCTGCTTCTCCCTGGGTCTTCATTATTTCTCCTCTCTTCTATGAGTAACTTTATGTAAAGATAGAAGTGTCCTCCAAGAATGTCAAACACTGGGGAGCAATAGACCTATCTGATCACAGAAACCCCAGCCCAGGAGAAGAACTCTTCACAGCTCCAGTTTTTAAAATGGCAGGCAACACTGCGAGTTCGAGGCCAGCCTGGGCTACAAAGTGAGTTCAAGACCAGCCTGAACTGCATATCGAGACCCTGTCTCAAAAAGACAAAAAAATAAAATAAAATGGCAGGCAGGTCACAGCTGGTCATTCGCGGGGAGCTGGGAGCTGCGACTGCAGCAGCTGCACGGGTCCGGAAGCCCATGCCTCTGCCACAAACCTGGAATGCCACTTGCCACTCACAAAAGCCCAGCAGCAGCCCCTGTAGCCGGGTGCCCCCCTCCACTCAGGACAGTGCCTTCCAGGGCAACAGGAAGGGCTGGTTATGGGAAGAGCTTCCCAACCCCAAATGAGCGGTTTCTTTCCCTGAAGAAGAGCTTGGCGCACCTAAGATCATTAGCATCTGGGAAGCCACCAGGGCACTGAGGGCAAAGCCAACAGGCAGACCCAGTCAGGAGGAGGGCTGGGGCTCCAGTGGGGCAGCCTTGGAGGGGTGAGGGGGAGCTTCCCTAGAGGGAGCTGGGGAGACAGGCTTTCCCAGGCCGCACACTCCTGTCCCTCCTTCTCCAGAACTTTGGGGGTTAAATCAGATCCGGGAAAGGGAAAATCTTTTCCCAGCAGCTCCGCCCCGGTGACTCAGGCCAGAGGGAGGGGATCTAGAGGAGAGGAGAGGGAACTAGCAGCTTCCCCAGCTCCTCAAAGGTCATGAGTCAGCAGAAGAAAGGGCCCAGCCAGCAAGTGGGAGCCCAGCTAGCAAGTGGGACCCCATCTGATCCTTCTCCCTCCCACCCCTATTCAGAGCCCCTTTTCACCCCCTCTCCCCCTCCAAAGAGTCCAGCAATGGACCCCTGCCCCGCTTGGCCCACAGATTTCGGGAAATGCCTCCCTCTCCTACTCCATCCCAAAGGGAAGTCTCCCTGACCCCTGGCTTCCTCCCATCAGGTCAGGAGCTGCCCCTCTGGAGGACGGCTCAGATCTCCCTGCCCTCGGCATCCTTCCTTTGGACTTGGCCACTCCCTGGTCCTGCTCCAGCAGATAAACCCATTCCCTGTCCCTGGGCTCTGGAACCAGCCCCTTGACACTCCCCAGTTCCAGCAGGAAGCAAAAGCGAGGCTGCCCTCCCACCCTGGGTTCACCACATTCCCACAGCCTGCTGGGTCTGGGGAGTTGCATCAGGTTTGGGGGCTTCCCTGGGTCCAAGGACAATCCTTGGGAATCAGGGCCAGTTCTGTGGCCCCACAGTTCCTCCCCAAGCCAACTGGCTGCACAGGAAAAATATAGAGTCTGGACATCCACTTCCAGGAATAAGGGAGCAGGCAGGAGTGGGAACAGCACTCCTCCAGATCCACTGCCCACAGCAGGGCTCCCAGGCCAGCCCTCTCTGACTCCCACAGTGCCGGGGCCCTCGGGCTCCCCAACAGTGAGCACAGCTGATCAGCGCCAGAACCCCCTCCTCAGCAGTCACGTGGTGTGATCAAGAGCAGAAGCAGAGGTGCGCGCCGAGGGCCAACCCCAACCTGAGGGCTTCTCTCATGGGGTGCTGAGGAAGGGCAGGAAGCAGGGGGTGTCTATGGAGAGACAGCTGAGGGGGTGGCCCAGCACCTCTCCAACTCCCCTACAACTTCCGCCTGGAGAGGCTTTAAGCTGAAGTGTGACTTCCTGTGTAGAGGGTGCAGAGGGGGGCAAAGAAGCGGACATGGACCCTGTGGTCTAACCCCAACCCAGCCACCTCCTTCAGAGACCCGCTTTGCTGTGTCCTTCCCCCGCAGCACTGAGTTTGTTAAATTAAAATGTGTTTGTTCCATTGCATGTCACAACCTCAGGGGAGCCCAAATAGCAGCCACTACTCCCAGGGCCTGCTGAAGTCCCCCTCCTGCCCGTGAACCCCTCCACCAATAGCTCCCGGCTCCTAGACCAGAGCTCATCGGACACTCGGCATTGGTGTTGAATAAACTGACTGTGTCTACTTTGGGCTTTTATCATAATATGATTGTTTCAGATAAGTAGATAAGATCTCCCTGACAGACCACAAGCCCTGTGAGATGAGACATCACAGAGATTATTGGTCAGACCTAGTCTTATCCTCCTACCTACCCAAAGCCAGGCCTGCAGAATGGGAAGGACACATGAAGATGAGTTTATGATCTGTCTTCCAGGTGAGGCCAGCGATGCCTTCACAGGGAGGTGAGAGGCAGCAACCCCCACAGGAATACATTTATCTCTGAAGTTTCCAACCATGCCCCTCCTCCACATGCACATGCAACAGAGCACACATTCCTCTTTCTTTTGTCTTTTTGAGACAGGGTCTTGCTGTGTAGTTCAGGCTGGCCTTGAGCTCACTTTGTAGCCCAGGCTGGTCTCGAACTCACAACAATCCTCCTGCCTCAGCCTCCCAAGTGCTGGAATTACAGATGTGTGCCACCACGCCCGGCTTCACTCTTTTTCTGAGACCACTGGCAAGTGAGTGCAGCCACTCCAGCAATACGGAGGAAGAGAAAGGTTGAGACCCTTTGCTCCAGGTGGCTGGACCTGCACTTTCACCTGGCCTTTCCTCAACACTTAGGGTGCCCAGAATTGAATTCATTCCTCTCCTTGTGTAGACGAAAGTCACACCTCTAACTTCTAGGCATCAGCACCAAGACCTTTGCCACAGCTCATGACCCCATCCCCAGCCCTGCCCCATGCTGTCAGTTCATCTTGCCAGTCCTTCCTCTGTGATCTCTCTGTGCTCTCCCTTCTCTTGGTTGTCTCACACCTGGATTGTTTATTACTGTAACTGTCTTCCTCTTTCCTACCCCAATCCACTCTACCCACCTTCTTTTTTCTTTTTTGAGACAGGATCCAACTATGGTGCCCAGGCTGGCCTTAAACTCCTGAGCTCAAGCCATTCTTTGGCCTCATCCTCCCAAGTAGTTGGGATTATAGGCGCCTCCCCCAGCTCCCCACATACTTCATCTGCACGCATGTTGCAGCTTGCACAGGGCTGTGTGGGAATCCTCCTTTCCACCTTCAGGCCTGACTTCAAACAACATCTCCACAGGGTACTCCTTTCCCGAATGTGTGCCCCGGAGAGCCCTCACTGCTGTAGGACTCAGTCCAGGCAGAGTGGGCTTGGGGAATAACGAAGGAAGGCGGGAAAGAAGGGAAGAAGGAAGGAGGGAGGGAGGAAAGAGGAAGGGAAGAAGGGAAGGGAAAGGAAAGGAAGGGAAAGGAAAAGAATTCCTCCACCTGAATCCATACTCAAGATTCTTTTTTCAATCTTCCACACTCACCCCAATGTTCCCATCCTCACTGTCCTTCACAATGGTCATCCCAGCTAAGGTGTTCAGCTCATGTCCCTACCACTCCTCAACAAAATCCCATATGTCCATTCCTCTGCCTCCCCCCAAACCAGTCTCCCAGCTCCTCTGCCTCCTTCCTTCCTAGCCACCTGGCGAGAAAGTGATTTCAGATGTCAGCTCCAAACCTACTTTTCTAGGGGCCTTTCCCTCCCTCACCCATCAGACCAATCCCTTGTTCTTTTGTTTACTCAACAATAGTTCAGGGACACAGTCTCTAGCCAGGCCAGGCCCCACCTGGGTGCTGGGAATGGCAGGATGGGTAATGGCCAGTTCATGCTTTGAAGAGCTCTGGATAGGTCAGAGACACCCACCGCAAGCCCTGGACCTGTGCAGGGGTGCCTGGCCCACATCGAAGGAAGGGCATCTGAGTCAGCTCCTGAGGCTGAAATCCACTGAGCAAAACAAGGCAGCTGGACCAAGGCCAGTCCCCTTCCCTGTTCCGCCTCCCATGCTGCAGGACCACAAGCCATCAGCAGTCTTTTCTCCAAGTGTTTCTGAAATGCCTTTTCACTGTGAGCCATCTTGGATCATATAGAAACTCAGCTCACTTTGCCACACACAGTCCTGTCTTTGCCATCCCCTCGGCCCCCCAGCACCTCCCACTCGCACGCCCCCTATACACACCACACTCACATTCTCTGTTGAATGGTGAGAAACTGTGAAGTCCTCTGCAGACCTCACCTGTCCCCTGTCCCCCTGGCTCCAGGCTGGCTTCCGTCATAGGATGACAGCCACACCTGGCTCCAGCAGCCCCCACCAGGTACCTTCATTTACTCTAAGCTTCCCAGAGAATAAGGACAATAAATACTCCTAACAACATCACTATAAAAGCCACGTGTTTGCTGTGTGTTTTCTCCCTGCTTTACCCTATTTCCCCTACTAGGCCCTAAACTAGAAAACAGAAGTTTCATTCACCACTGTAATCCCAGCACCTAAAACAGAGTTTAGCAGAGTATATGCTTGATGAACCGAATACATACTTCACATGTACCCATCTATTTAATCTTAAACTCACACTAGGAGGTAGTGACCACTATGCCCATTTTAGAGATAAAGAAATTAAGGCATGAAGGGGTCACAGAACCTGCCTAATTCATTCAGCTAAGATGTGAAGGAGTCAGGTGATCTGCAACTACAGAGAGAGCAGAATGAAGAGGACCTGGCAGCTAGACAGTGAGGGGGAGGGAAGGAAGTCTCTGGAAGGGGAGAGTGGGTGGGCCTGGGGGATAGGAGGAGGGAGGAGGACAGAGCAAGACCATTGTAGAGGCAGGTGGGGGTCTAGAAACGTAGGACTAGAGCAAAGGGAGGGGACTGGATAGAAAGGGGCTCAAAAGGCGCTCAGGAGACAGACTGGAAAGGAAGGGATGGTGGGAAGGACAGATGTAAGACACTGAGGAGAGGGCAGGCAGGGAGGCCATTGTTCCTGGCCCAGGGAAGGCCAGCAACCTGGAAGAGGTTGCCCACACAAGCAGCAAGTCCACCTGACTAGACAGGTGAGGGGCTCTGGGTATGTGATGAAGATGACCCCAGGACATGAGGAATGTCAAAGCACATTAAAACAAGCTAAGGTCAGAGAAAGGGACATTTTCCAGTGACGAAAACAACTTGCTCCCAACTTCCCCAAATTGAACTGTGGAGTAAGAAACCAAGTGATTGTTGTTTAGGTCTGGGGGGTGGGGAAGCCAGCTCAGGGACACTGACCAGGCGGCGGAGGTGCTAGCGACCTGGGCAGCATAGTTAGTCCAACAGAGGCAACCTATATGGAAACCAGAGCCTGGGGTGGAAAAGCAAAAAGAAGCTCCTATGGCAAAGGCCCTGTCCACCTGACTGTCCTGCCCCTGTCCTCTTTCCCATTCCATTCCCAGGTACCCCATCACACAGCTCCCCAAACCTACCCCACCAGCTTGTCCCCTTCCTGGACTTGGTTTCCCCATTTCACAAGTCGGCTCTCTAACAGGGTTGCCCAGGCAGATTCCACAGGTCCCCACAGCCGGCAAACTCCGGGGCCAGCCTCCTGGGCCGGACGGAACAGAACGGGATGGTCTACTTGCCCAGAGCCCTGGCCTCTCTTCTGAGGCGCCTCTTCTTCCCCTGCCAAATCCCCACCCCTACCCCACACAGGCCTGTGGCCTGCCCCCAGGGTCCCACACAAGGCCTGGTCAGGCCAGGACAAACTTGCTCCGCTGTCAGGAGCCGGGGCTTTCACTTTCTCCTCTTCAGACGGCTCAGGGCAGCTGCCTTCTCCTGGGCTGGGTGACCAGGAAAGCTGCCTGCCAGGGCCTGAGTTTAGTCCCAGCAGGCCCGAGGGTGGCAGCAGGAACAGGCCAAGGCAGGAAAGTCTCCCCTTCCTGGGAAGGGCCCCCTCCTGCCAGCGGGCTCCGGCCCCACCAGCCCTCTCCTTCTCCCCTCTCACCAGCAGCAGCAGCAGGCCAGACACAGTGGGGAGGCCCATATCCGGCCAGCGGGGCCTCTCACTCCCCCATTGGGGCTCGGGACTGCTGCGGTGGCAGTGGTGTCCAAAGTTGCTCTGACCAGAAGGTCCCGGGAGCCTCGGCGCCTCGGGGCCTCGGGTTGGAGGAAGGGGCACGCAGCGTTGAGACCAGGATGGAGATCACCGCCCCATCCCACAGTCCTCAAACCCCAGAGGCCAGAACTGAAGCCCGAGTCTGAACACTCTGAGAAAACTAAGGCGAGAGAGGGTGGGAGGGAAGGGAGAGCAGCAGCGAGGGCGGTGTTGCAAGAGCACAGACAGGAAGAGCTGGGGAGGAGGCTGGAGGCGGAGGGAGGCGGAGGGGGAGGGGCGAAGGCCTTCAGCGCTTTGCAGCGTCCCAGGCTGTGCCACCAGCACCCAGGGGCCTGTGCCCCCAGCTCACAAATCCCACCACTCCCCTGGAACACCACGGGGCATTTTCCAGATGGAAAACCAGCCCATCACTGGCCTTTCCCAGGTGGAAAAACAATGGGAAGACCTAGAGTTGTGGAGTCAAACTTACTGTGTTCCAGTTCAGAATCCTCCACTTTTTAGCTGGGTGAGCCCAAACACATAATCCTACCTCTTTGAGCCCATTTTCCAATTTTTGAAATGAAAATAGCGTCTCTCAAAGGGCCTCTGGAGGGTTTACTGAGACAGGACAGAGGAGCGGCTGTCACACAGGGTAACGACAGTACTCGGTATCCCTCAGTGGTCCTTCCCTGTACTCAAGAGTTCTCCTCAGCATGAGTCGTAAGCCTAGTTTTCTGCCCTGCCTGGGACCTTGACCCTCAGCCCCCTCCTTCTGGCTCTCATCTGGCAGGTGACGGTGGCTGGCATCCTGACACTGCCACCAATCCTGGGACATCAGGCAAACACGCACCTGAGCCTCATTTATTAAGTGGGGAAGCACATGTGTGCCCACCTATGTGAGGAAAGCGATGCTGGGAAGATCAGTGAGACCACATCCGTGAAGGCGCCTTGAAAACACGGGTATCTCTGAGGCTGCTGCCAGAACATCCCAGCATCCTTTCCTCAAATATTCAGTTGCACTCATGTGCACTGAGCCTAGAGATAATTTACTACAACCTTCTGGCTTTAGAGACGCCCAGCACATTGGGAGGCAGAGCCACCAGAGAACCCCCAATTCCTAGCTCCCAGTCCATCTAAGAGAGACACCCAGCCACTTTTCCCTCTGTCCCTTGGAGCTGGACCCCTGTTATAGATGGGCATCTATGGCATCTCTGTTTGAGCAAGTTTTCTCCCAAGCGAATTCCACAATACAGGCACAACATTCACCCAGTGACCGGCCCTGTACCCAGCCCAAACTCAAGTCTTTCATGGACTGAGGTGTGAGAAAAGCAGGGAGGCCAGAGGAGCAAGGTCCTAGGGCTTCGTCACTTGGAACCAGAGCTCCCAGTCCCTTCTCCCTTTAATCCACAGCTGACCTCCAGCCCCAAGCCCACTCCTGGCTCTTGGTCTCCCTTCTGTGATTTCCAGCACCCCTATTGGTAGATCAGTAGATCTAGGTCGTGAATAACTAGGTAACTGGGCCTAGGTGCGCTGCCCTAGGGGCTGACTCCAGTCTGGTCCACCCAGCAACTTCTGACAACCCAGGGATATGGGAACTGGACTTGCAGAGGAAGGGACTCACTACATGAAAGCCCTGGGGGAGGGAGGAGTGGACCCCAGACAGAGCTCTGGAAGAAGCACGATTATTAAAATAAAGTCGGGGGTCAGACTAGCCAGTGTGTCCTGTGAATAAGCTGGGAGAACCTCAGGCTCCTCATCTAAAAAAACAGAGAGGCCTAGGGGGTATAGCTCAGTGGCACAGCCTTTACCTTCCAAGCACCAGGCTTTGGCATCCACCCAGCACTGAAGATAGATAGATACAGATGACAGATGAAATGGGAAATGTGCTAACATGCTAGTACCTCTCACAGAGCTGATTTGATAATTAAGTGCAGATAAAGTATTTAGCAAGTTTTTGCCACACATTAAACATTCTACAAGCCCTAGCAATATTAGTAGTTCATATTAATAACAACTTTCATGTTCATTTTTAGTGTTACAAAGACTTTAGCATAGTCTGTACAGGCTGCCAAAGTTATTATGCACAGCCCAAGACAAAAGAATTCTCTTCATGATTTAAGATTAAATGCTGATTTACTAAGTTTAAAGCTTTGACACATGTAGTATTAAATTGTTCAACAGAATTTTAAAAATAAATAGAAGAGAAGGTGGTAAGAAGTAGATAGATCTAGGGATATGAAAAGGTAACTTGCTTGGGGCTGAGGGTGTATCTCAGTGGTAGAGCACTTGCCGAGGATACACAACACCCATTACCAAATGGGTATTGGTAATGGGTTCAATACCCATTACCAAAACAAGCCCAAAAACCTAGGTATTACCTTGAGGAGGCCATAGTCCCTCCAAGAGTAGAAAAAATGATGGTGTGGCTGGATTGGGGAAGAGATGGAAAAACAGAAGAGGGCCGGGATAGTGATGACAGGGTTGGCTGCTGGGCTTGGGGAGCCAATGATGAAGAGCTTGAGAGCTGGTTGTGGTAGCACAAGTCTGTAATCCCTCCTACTGGGAAGGCTGAGACAGGAGTATCAAAAGTCCCAGGCCAATCTGGCCAATATAGTGAGACTGTCTCAAAAATTAAAACTGAAAAGGACTGGGGATATAGCTCAGTGGTAGAGCTGCCCAGGTTTGATCCTCAGTACCACACAGGAAAAAAGCTTCACATCAACAGAACCTTGTCCCCCTTCACGGCTCACACAGGCACTTTAGCGCCCGTAGACACACACATGCACACAGAACCTGAAAGGACACTGGACAGAGTCCAGCTGACATGGGTGCTCACCCAACCTTGTCATCCAGGGCTCCACCCTTCCCAGGGAGGCTGGAGACTCAGTTCCCAGCTGGTTCTGTCAGAAGCATGAACCTGGGCCAGCCACTCCACCCACCACCCTCATTAGGAAACTGAGACGTGAGCCCTGACCCAACTCCTTGGGGTAACCCACAGATGGGCTGGGGCTGGGGATGCTCCAGGTGGACTTACAGGCAGCCAGGGAGACTCATCCCTGCTAGACCCCTCTATGTCCACCTGGTTCTCCTCCCCTGCCAGGGCAAAGGGCACGGGCACAGGGTGGGGCACGGCTGAGGGCGGCCACACCTGAGGGCTCTAAGGAGGAGGTGGCTGGGACGGCCATTTCCCCCATTCAGCAAGAATCGCGGAAAGGGAAGTCAAAGCCATCACAAGGGTCCAGGTCATGACCCTTCCTATATCCCTACGTCCCTTCACTTGGTCCTGGTCCTTTTCCCTCAGATCCTGCTTCTCCTCTGGACCTTGGGACAGAGAGAGTGTAATGAGTGAAAGTGAGACCAAAGCCGCACAGGAAGCATCCTGAAGGTAGCAAGAAAGATTCACTTCCGGTTCCAGGTCTGCTGCTGGAGTGGGCTGAGGGACTGGAGCTCGAAAAGCTGGGCTTTCCTCGGACATCCCTGACCCGGCCTCGACCTGTTTCTCCTCTGAGAGTGGGCAGACGCGCTCTGTGACACCGAGTGAGCGAGCCTGCACAGGCTCAGAGGTTTCTGAAGAAACTGGCCTGAATCTCATCAACCCCAGACAGGAGCTGACAGGGAGAAGGGCAGATGAGTGGTGTATGGTGTTCAAATGAGCAGAGGCTCAATGGCGAATAAAGCTGGGTAGGAAAGGAAGCTGGGACACTGGGAAAGTGGAGTAGTCCCCGTCACGCTGGAGCAGGGTCCCTGAAAGGAGAAGCACAGGTCTCTCACTTCCAGCCTATCAACGGGATAAGCGCAGAGCAGACACTCTGCCTGTAGATAGGCGGATGAATCACTCCAGTCTCTCCTATGGCTCCTAGAGAATGGTCTCCTCCATGGTGAGCGGAGGGGCACAGGAGTCTGTCCCCTCCCTGTACCCTAAGACTTCCCAGAAGTGTGGGCAGTGACTCCAGGGCTTGTATCCACTCCATACCCACTTCAGGGGAACCACCCAGCTCTCCACGACACAGTTTTCCTCAACAAACATTTATTGAGTGCCTGCCTACCTACTCCAAGCAGGATGCCAGGCTAGACCTAGAGAACATGTAAATGAACAGAACTTGGTCCCTGGCCAGTAGTCAGGGGAGCAGACACAAATGAATACAAAAGTATAATGCTACACCAGTGCTCCAGTCGATGTCATAGTGTGTTATAGGCATCTGGTGAGAGGGGGTGATCGATTCTGCGGAAGACAGGCTTTCATAGAAGTAATGGTGTCTGAGCAGGGTTCTGAGGGATGCATAGGAGCTCTCCAGGAGATGGCAGAGGAAACTTCCAGGCTAAGGAAATTGCTTCAGCAAACATGCAAAGCTGTGAAGGGCTCAGAGCGGAGGCACTGGACTATGACTCTGTGAGGGCCGGAAGCCTGAAATCGGAGAAGTCTGGGAATGGCTGGGAATGGCCAAACCTTTACTAAACTGGTCTGTTCCAGCCATTGCCCTGAGGAGTCAGGGAAGGGGAATTACCCAAGAACTAAAAAGGGGGCTTTTGGGTGGGGTTCCCCACCCAAGTTCAAGAACAGGAGCAGACGTGTCTGTGTCCCTGGACGGCAGTGTGGCCAGGCCAATCTCGGGCTGGCTCAAGGTTGCTGGAGAGGAGACCTGGGCGAGGCTCTGTGTGCACCTTGTTTGTGTTTTGTTCTGGTTGCTGCTGTTTCCTAGGGAAGTTCCTTGCCAGAGCTCCAAGTCCTGCTCCGCTGATCCAAGGGAAAGGGAGACTTGCCTGCGCTCACAGGAGCTTTGGGCCGCTCCGCCGCCCCTCGCCCAGCCAGCCTCCCCGCTGCACCACAGGCACAGAGGAGCCTCGGTGCCAACTCTCAGGGCTCCCCCAGAGCACTGGTGGCCGAGCTGGCCCCCGCGGAGCCCTGCGGAGGTGGGCAGGCACTGAGGGTGGCGTAGGCGGGCGGAGGGGCTGTCAAGGTCGGGGAGGCAGAGTGGGCACAGAAGCGCAAAGGGAGGGAGGATGAGGGCGTGCAGGCCACCTCCCTGGCAGCTCTGGCCCCTCGTCCTGGAGCCCAGTACCGGCTTCGGAACCTCCGCAGCAGCATGAGGAACGTGATGACCAGGAGGTCGAACATGAGCTCCGCCATCTCCACCACAGACAGCACAGAGGAGCCGAACCACAGGCTCCACTGGCTGCCCAGGTTGGACAGGAGGGTGACCATCTGCGAGGGGGCAGGGATACAGCAGGGGGCGCTGATGGAGCCAAGCCAGCACCCTGTGTGTCCCCACCCCTGGGCCCCTGCCTCAGCATCGCCGAGAGAGCTGGCAGCGAGGCTGGCAGAAACCGGGCAGGTCTGGGCCCCTCCTCACCATCCGGCACACAGGTGCCTCCCCTGTACCCCAAGACCTCATGCGCCAGCCCCAGCCCCTCCTTCCAGCCCTCTCTGCTCACCCTCAGCCACACCCTCCTCTTTCATGGAGGCCCAAGCCCTTCTGGCCGCACAGACAACCCCTTGTTTTCCCAGCTGGCCGACCCCGCGAGACCCCAGGAGAGCCACAGGCTCAGCGAGGCAGGCCCTACCGTGACCGAGGGAGACTCAGAATTGGTCTTGTAGTTCAGCTCCTTGAAGAAGATGTTCAGTTTGGCTACTCCATTTCTTGGGAGGTGGGGAGAGGCAAGAAGAAAGCATTAACTTCTTGGACCCTCTTCCAACTGGCTGAATCCATTCCTCTGCCCAGACCTGTCCTCCCTCCCAAGGATTCCTGTCCCAGGACTACCGTGAGGCAGGACTGACCTCTTGTTGTTGATGGTGTAATTGTTCTGCAGGGACAGCATCTGGAAGATCCAGTCCTGGGAAAGGATGGGGGCGGCTATGAGGTCACACGTTACATGAGTGTGCATGGACCTCCCATTCCTCCCTTCCCCACTTTACCTGGGATGTTGCCGAGGGCCAGCGTGAGTAACCAGCAGATAACTTGTAGATGGTCACACTGAGGATGAAGAAATGCACTTCACTTGGTTTTGGTTTTTGTTTTTGAGACAGTCTCGCTATGTAGCTCAGGCTGCCCTCAAACTTGTGATCTTCCTGCCTTAGCCTCCCAAGTGGTAGTATTACAAGTGGACCCCACGCCTGGCTAAAAATGTGCTTAGTGATGGATTGGGGCTCTTCCACTCAAAAGTTTAGCTACATGTCTTGAATCCTCCCAGCCGCACAGCCCACTGTCCACCCTGGACCTGGGAGCAGGGGGCGCTTACCTGCACGGCTTCCTGCATTTGTTGAAGCAGCCCAGACTGTCAGAGGAGAAGGCCCCCTGGAGCTTATAGTAGCAGTAGCCTGTGTGTACAGAGAGGTGCCTGTGTTCTGAGTGTGCCTCAGCCTTCTCCACCCCACACCCCAGAGCCCCCACTTAACAAGAGCATTATGCAGCATTATCCTGATGTGTCCTGGGTAGGAGCAAGAAAAATGTTAACACATTAAGCAAAGTCAGGAAAGCAAATAGGCTACAACCATGTAAAATGCGATGTGTGGCCAAAAATTAAACCTCAGAAGAAAAATGGGAACAACTGTTGCGTAAGAACAACAGGGTTAAACCACAATGAAAAACCAGTAAACACCCTTTAAGATAAAAAGAAGATAATACAAGTCCTAGGGAGACTGAGGCAGGAGGATTGTGAGTTTGAGCTCAGCCTGGGTTACATGTAAGCTTTTGTCTGTCTCAGAAAACAAACAAGGCCAGGAGCAGTGGTGCAAACCTGTAACCCCAGCACTGGGGAGGCTGAGGCAAGAGGATCACTGTGAGTTCCAGGCCAGCCTATGCTCCAAAGTGCGTTGAAGGCAGCCTGAACTGCATAGTGAGACCCTGTCTCAAAAAAAGAAAAAGAAAAGAAAGAAGAAAAGGAGAGAGA